GAGCGTGTCATATCATGTTATACGACATTTGCTTGCGTTGTTTAGTGTTACATTGTATTCAATCATTTCACATACTATCGTGTTGCACACTATTGTCGCATAGTTCGTTATATTATGATATATTAAAGCTTATCATGTGGTAGTTTGGTATACCCCGTCATATGTTAATACCTTATCATGCGTGTTACCATAGTGTATCGCTTAAACCGTATTACTATGTGGTTGTGGCATGATACGTTGTGATATATTACAATGTCTTTAGTATAACGCACATCTGTACATATATATATATATATCTATAGATATATGATATGTTTATTGTTCCGTCTATATATTTATACATATACACATTTGTGTATATATATATGCGTGTCTGTATGTATGTGTGTAACAGTTTGTGTACGTATTGGCAATGTAATCATACACGTGCGTGTTTAAGGTATTGTACATATGGAAAGCGCGCCAGTGGATTACCCTGAGTACACAAAAGGGGTGGTGCGCTCGCAGAACCCCCCCCCCCACCCTTCCCCCCTTCAAAGGAGGGGTGAGATTTTCGATCCCCCCCCCCTCCCTTCCCTCAAAGGGGGGGTCCGACCCCGAAATGGGACGAATTACAACCGACTGGTCCCAATTCCAACCGTTCGGAGCGATTTGCAACCAGCACTGGGACCAATTACGACCATGGGATCATCAGAAGTACTTGTGTCTTCTTCAGAAGTAGTTCTTTCTTCAGAAGTACTTCTTTCTTCTTCAGAAGTATTTTTTCTTCTTCAGAAGTACTTCGACACCTTGGGATTCCTTCGGATTCCTTCGGGTTCCTTCGGATTCCTTAGGATTCCCTGGGATTCCTCAGGGGTCCTTCGGATCCTTAGGATTCCTTAGGATCCTGGGAATTCCTTGGGGTCCTGAGGATTCCTCAAGATCCTCCGGAATTCCTCAGGATTGCTCCGGGTTCCTTGAGGAATCCTTAGGAATATTTACGGCTCCATCGGAATCCGAAGGAATCCTTAGGGGAAGGGGGCGCTTTGGGGGCCTTTTTGAGGTCTCTCTGGGCTACTCTTAGGGCCCTCTTGGGGCCTCCTTGGGGCCCTCTTGGGGCCCTTATTGACTTTTCTTGGCGCCCAAATAAGCCCCAGAAAGGCCAACACTCGAGGGCTGCAGGGGGGCCCAGCAGAGTGACGTCTTATGGGGGCTCAGATTGGTCCATGCCTGGGGGGGGGGGGGCTGCGATCTGTTAAAAGAGCTCGAAACGGCCGTAAGAGGGAACAGCAACCGAACAATATTCTATGTTTCGGAAGGGGGCGGGGAGAACAACCGAAACATATTTCTATGTTTTCGGAAGGGGGCGCCTTGGGGGCCTTCTTGGGGGTCTCTCTGGGCCACTCTTAGGGCTCTTTTGGGGCCTTTTTGGGGGCCCTCCTGGGGCCCTCTTAGGACCAAGCATCGATGCAATTCGGGGGGTTTTGCTTACAG